AATAAACCAGAAGCCGGCCCACGTTCACGCCCCTAAATAAACCCGAAGCCCTTCATAAATAAAAACAGATATCAATTCAATGGGGCATGCTTGTCCATCCACCCCTCCCCAAGCAGAAGCTCCTCCCCTCACCCAACCAGCCCTTTTGCTCTACCTCCATGTCTTCTGGAGGTTTTCTTCATGCACAGTTTCCACCTGACTGCACGACTTAATGATTAGAGGCCTTATTGAGACTTTTGTCTGGTACGTTGGCTGGAGGTTTCTAAGAAATTGATGATTGGAGCCTTAAAGCCAATGGAAGACCTGCTGGTCTGGATGTGTCGCTCAGCATCATGTGGTGTTGAAAGAACTGTCAGGTGGAGATTCATCAGAGGGGCGATGGCTTGGCAGGGGAGCTGGTCCTGTACTCCAGTGGTGCAGGATGCACCATGTAATCAGTAGGTGCAGTTAGATGTAGTTTGGCATTGACGTAATACCTGTGCCTGTGCTTTTTAAAGCAACTTTAGTGAGTAGTGATGGCCGTATTTCGGATTAACCCACAAATACAGACCAGGAGGAAAGCAAAGGGGAGTAAGGAGGGGGCGAAGCGAGCCCAAGAAAGGGAGAGGAGGATCTCCGCCCCTTCAGTGGAATGATCAGCTATATGAGACCAGGTATATGCTGAATTCATGAAAGACGGATGGAAAGAACAGGACTAATCAGATCAGCTCCTCCCGCTGAACACCGGAACGCCACGATCACTTAAAATGAACCGCTAAGAGGAGGATAAACATGCCCAGATGGAACGGAATGGACCAGTGAGCCAGCAGACCCAGGCCGCTGCGGAAAACGGGTCGGCACCTTGCAGAGAAAGAGCTTTTAACACGGATCTCGCTGCCAATCTGCCCACTCCCCCCCGCTTCAGAATCAGGATCCTTTGTAGTTCAGAAAGACGCGGAAAGTGCCAAAAACGACAACGGTGCCACGGCGCCGCCAAAGCCACTTAGCGAGAAGCCGAACTGCAGCTAATGCGAACTCTCGGAACTCTCTGACTCGGATGGTTTGTGGAGGAAGACCAGACAGGTTCTCCCACAAGCCTGGGGTGAGAATCAGACTGACGGTCCTGCATGTGCCTGGTCACTGTTCTCCTTATTGACCCCAAGGATGTTCAAATATTCTTGTACTCCCATAGAACAGGCAATCCCCATGTGTTTTGTTCACATCAACTTTTAAAAAGCAAAACTATACTGTTTAGTAAGTAGGAAACGATAGCCACTGTGCAGTTCCTCCTTTGGACCACAAGGGGGTGTCATGAACCCAGATTCCCCACTGAAAGCTGCCAGTGACACTTACATGTGCAGTGCTTGACAGGTGAATGCTAACTGCACTGAGATGTCTGCCTTTCTGCAGCATTCCACCATGAGTGGAAGGGAGGGGCGGGAAGGGAGCTTGAACCATGCATGGGTGTGCAGAAAGATTTGGAAAAAGGTGTACATGCCGTGAGAAGACTAGCATATGCTGGGGACAGCAGGGCCCGTCTACGCGCTCTCTGCCAGCGCTATTCTCAGTTTGGCGTCGTTCGGAGTGCGAGCGCCCACGTTCTGGCTCAGAAACGCTGCACGAGGAACATCCAGCGGGGGCACGAGAGGACAGAGCACCAGGCCGCGGCCCATAGAGTCTCGTGACCAAACTGGGCGGGGCCTCAGGTGAGGCGAGAAAGGTGGAGAACAGTTGTTCCCTTTCAGGGCTCGATTATCACCCAGCACCACCGACCTGCAGAACCGTTAGCAGAGGTGGGTAGTTCAGGTCCAGAGAGTATAAGTCCGG